TTCGACATTCAGAATAGAAATCAATTTACCCTTTTCATTTTCTGTGTAATTCAAATTAAACGACAAATTCAGAAAAGAGTTTTCTAACTTCCAGTCCTCGATTATTGCATATTGATTAGTAATTCATGGAAGTAAACTAACTTTTACATAGAAATGCAAAATGCATACGTTTGCTCTTATGTCTATGCAAGCCATTCTACACTAAACAGATCAAACCTTTTTTGGTTTCTGTTGCATGCATACAAAAATGATTTACTGTCAAAAAGGGATATTGGCATAAAATGAAAGCAAATTAATTTTACTCGAAAATTATATCTTAATTAGTACATATTATTTAGCTACTCTTTATAATGCATCACTCCATGTTATTAATCAAATAATTCGACTTATCTGTGGCATACTTCAACACCATTTCTGTGGTAAATTTATTGAAGAAGGAGTAAAACAGAACAACAATAGCAACATTTTTTAGAGCATTTTATTGTGCAGTATGAACAGTAACTCTTGTCATTTACTGTAGTCTATTCACAACTCTTCGGTTCTGCAGTAGTCTATCATACAGAAGCTGACAATCACATTCCAATTCCAGTAATTTTATTTATTTCGAACATACCTAAATATTACTGTCAGAAATTATTAATGATAATTTTTAACTTCTTGAAGTGCTCAATTTTTTACTTCATTAGCTCATTGCATTACACTATAAAATTCAGTGAGTGAGCTGATTTGTTCTATTCCATTATCATTATATTTACTCATTTATCTATTCCAGTTCTTTACTGAATTATATCCCATTTGATATATACTTAATGAAATGTGCTAATGAATATTTGATATATACTTAACGATATATAGCTTCATACCATGTAACACTGAGTCCACACAAAACTTTTTTAGATTTTATATGCATGCTCAATTACTTACACTGCTTGAAGGAGTATAGTAAGCATAGCAATTAATCAACTTGTCAAACTTTGTTGATACTGAAATTTTTTCGAAAGTTTAACTAATTGCTACATAGATAATATTCTTTCAAGCAAATAGAATAATTATTGTGCTAGGCGAATCCTCATGACTCTACTTCTAGAACAATATATACAGCTAACAATTTAATCTTAGCTAGACAGCGAAGAACAAGTATGTTAATATTTGCTTGATTTTTTCTGCTTGACATATGAAACTTATTTCTTTGCATTGAAAATTCTTCTTATACACCTGAATAAGCTAGTCCGAAAAATTCATTTTGTCTAGTAAAGACAAGATCAACCAGTAATCAACAGTAAGCCAGTAATCAACTAATTCTCAGAGAAGGAAGAAATAAAGTTGTCTTCTACCAATTAATCCATAGACGCAGTATGACATGAATAAAAATTCTTGGGATGTCATCAGAAAAAATCAAGTTCACTATGGTGGAACTGTGAGTTCACTATGAGCCTAAATTCCTTACTACAGGCCTTTTCGAGAACATAACTGCCTGAACAGGTAAATTAGCAAATTTGAAATTATCACTTCCATTTGCAGTAAATAATTTAAACATTTGCTTTTGAAATTAAAATCATACTTTTTAATTAGAATTTAAATTCAAATTGTTGCATAAATGAGGGATTAATATCTAATGGACCGTAAACTTTTTATCAAATATGCACACTAATAAAAATTCCTCTCTGCTCGATATTGCTCTTCGTTGTTTTTTTCACTTAAATATTTTTGTGGTACTTTTGCTGCGTTTATCTAATTGCGTGGTTTATTTGGTGTGCGTGTTTAAACCTGTTATTTGAAGTTTAGAAGAATTGTTATAGAAAGAACTGGATGGACTGCTACGTGGTGCTAATTTTTGCAACATGAGATGGTGAAACGTAACGTGAACACTAATCTCTAATACTTTCGAGTAGCTAAATTCCATGCACAATTTTAATTACAATATTATATTTCAATAGAAATAAGTTACTAGTGGTCTCATTTATGTCATCATTATTTTTCGTGATGTTAAAAATTCAATTTTATTTAGAAGCAACTCTAGCCAAGTAGCAATATTTAACATTTCATATCTTGTTCTAGGCGCACGTGCTAGTCTAAGACTTAAGTTTAATCTCAGAACCATTCTTGCTTTTAGCAGACAGTGCTGAAGAGCGCTGCTCTCACATTCGTGACGTTCTTCAAGTAGTACATGCGTGATTGTCGTTGAATTTCTTTTTGGAAAACTGAAGCAGAATCATATTTTTGAAAATTCAGTTATAGCACAACATTATTTATTATGTTGTAAATCTTTTATAGTCCCGTTTTTTTCGAAGTAATTATTTCTTCTTGAAGGAAATCAGTGGCGTTTTGAAGCATTCAATCCACTTAGTACTCTACAATTTTTTTTAAGAATATTATAAGATGTTTCATACATTTTTTGTAAACTGAGATTGTTCTTCAAAATATCATTACTTAAAAATTAGCAATTATGAAGATTGTCTCAGATGTTGTTATATTTGTTTGAGAAACTAATTTTGACGTAATTGAGTATTGCAACGTATCACGTAATCTAGAATGCTAGGATTATCCTTATTTTGAAGTAGATTAAGGAAGAAACAGCCGGTTGACGCTGTTTACGTTCTATGTTTTCAGTTATTATAATGTGAAAGGATTAGTATTAATTTATGGCAATTTTCAGTTTTGTATTGTCGTCATAAATTAAGAAAACGACGCCCCTTCTATAAATCGTTTGGGCGTGTCTTGGAGTCTACGTGAGAGTTCAGGAACATGGCTGGGGCGGGGCCATCAAGTCTAAGTGTTGCGATATGTTTATTAGCATTACATATCGCACATGACACCGTCTCATCTGACAGTCTTTGATAATGAGATGGCCGTGTCGACGCGTCTGTTGATGCGTCCCTTGGCGTCTTCTCTTTGAGCTAGTTGTAATTGATTCGATCTTGCACTCATTCATGACTGTTTAAAAGGAGTTTGACTTCTGCTTTAAGATTATGAAGCACTGACGCAAAATGTAAGTTATTTTCCTTCAGTACTTTATTTTTCAGTGTGTTGTCTTTGACTGCATTCTCAATTCTTTTTGATACTCTTGTAGTAGTCAAATTGTTACTCTAAATTCTAATTAATAATTTTTATTTATGTGTTATCGAATGTTTGCTTCAGCGTCTTTTATTATAAGATTTCAGTACGGAATTGTTGCGAAACCAAGCAGTATATGTTCATCAGTGCATCAATTCAGTGATTACGAGCAACAATGATTGAATTGGAATAAGTTTTTTGTCTCGCCAATTTAATTTTTTTAATATTTATAAAATCGCTATGTATTATATAAATTTTATTTTTTACACTATTTCCATTATGGATTTGCGATTCACACTCATGATTAGTTTTCCTCTACTTTTTTGTGTATAACGATGTACATTGTTTCTGTACGTCGTTAATTTATATGTTAATATATATTTGTTGATTTATTTTTATTCATACCTTGATCTACATGTACCTGTATTACTGTACATGTCTTTTATATCTAAGTTTCTATTTGTACATACCTAGTTAGTGTAATCTTATGTAAATGTCCCCAGTAACCTTTAGATAAGTTTATGTTGTTCATATTTATCAATGTATTAATTGGTGTATTAATAAAAATTGCTTAAATAACATCAGCGTGTTAACATGGCATAAAATGGATGTGTTTAGCAAAATTTGTTCATAATTACTATAACAGAAAAAGTATTCATTCCTCTCTGTAAATACCATTAAGTACTATAATATGAATAGATAGCAGCAAGCAAGACTTTTGCAATAGTTGGTGTATACTTAATTATATGTTACTTACTGCTGATTAAGCTAGACTAGACTAAATTTAACACTCAGGAATCGTTTCTTTTTTGATAGGGATTGCAGAAGCGAAAAAATAATCGTGCTACGTGATATAAGTGACGTGACATGACAAATTACATGACTAACAAGTTATTCTATATTTTGTGGAAGACATCACACTATCTCATAGCACTTATTTTTGCTTAAAAACTGTGCACTGAATTACATTCGCAAATATTTTGTCTCACTGCGCTATGCCAAGCAGCAATATGTTATTAATACTAAATCAATCAATGATTGGTTGATTCACCCGTCTGATTGATTATTCAAATATTTATTCATTCACTCATTCATTTATTCTTCTTCATTCATTCATTTATTCATTCACTCATTCATTTATTCTTCTTCATTCATTCATTCATTTATTCATTCACTCATTCCAATCAATCAATCAATCACTAATCTCATTGCTAATTTATCGTCTAGAATGTTCTGTTTGGAGTTCTCTATTTGATACTTATGCTGAGATTTTTCTTCAGTGAACTAACCAAAGCGTATCTTTGTTTCATTTCGATATTACACTAAAATTCAATACTTTAAATGTAATGCAAAGTATTTTAATATCTAAGTCTTTAAGTATTTTATGCAAAGACTTTTCATTTGCAGTCTGAAGCCTTAACAGGCAACCATAACAATAAGGTGATGCTTGTGCGTAATTCAGAACTCTCACTTTCATTTACGTCAATTTTATTTACGTTTTTCAAGTTTGGGGGTTTGAATTTTCAGTAAAAGTTAATATAATTACAAAATAAAATACCAGTTCTATTAGATTTCGATCTTATAGTTTGATATTGCACGTGACCTTTTCAAGCTGACCTTGCACTACTACTTCATTTATTTTCTTTTATCGTTCAATTTTTAGCTGTGCTTGTTTTTGCTGATTTTCTTTTAATCTAAATGTTTTCTATTTTGCCAAATTAAATGAAGAATTTTTCATAATATCATTTGTTTTTTATGCATAAATAAGTATTGTTTTTAAATAACAAATTCAGTTTTGTAATGAAAATTTGCCAGTCGTTAAACTGTAAATATAAAATACTTACATAATGTTTCAGCCGATTCGAATATTAGTGACATCTGCATATTATTAGAATATTACTGAAAGACATCTTTATCGTAGCAGTAGACGGATTTCCTATTGGCAAATGGCAGACAATATTTTACCGGCACAGAAAGCTACTTTAGATACTGTTATTGATCAAGTTGAACAGTTGGAGCACAGCATGGGCACATTTATTGAAAATGTAAGTACCAAATATGCATCATATTTGCACATCAAAACTATTTTTGCGAGACTTTTTGTAAAAAAAATATTAGTCTGGAATACTTTTTGATCACTTATCGTTTCTTGTGCTCATAATAACTTTGTTATTTTCCTTAATTACTGATTATTATTACTTATTGTTGTTTATTATTATTGCTGTTTGTCATTATTATTATTAATCATTCTCAATTACTATTGCTTACTGTCATAATATTATCATTATAAATGTGAAGATTTTTCATACTTTAGGTAGAAAAAATTATAAACGAAATCACTTCACAAGTTATCAGAATGCTGGACTCATTTCACGAGCATTTCGGGCTGACAAGGAAAGAAATTGGTCGTGTCACGGTATGTATGAGCAAAATAATTTAATTATCAAAATTAATCTTATAGCACAAAAATAGCGCCAGTTTGCTTACAATAAAATAATTCTATCTATTAATTTTTTGACATGCATTGCAGTAATGTGAAAGATTATTGAATGCATTCGAATGCAAAATTTATCATTTTGAATTGTGTAATTGAAATTAGAAACTAACATTTGTGAAGTAAATCGAAATTAATTCACGTGAAAAATTGATTGCTCACTAAATTTGCTTAATTTGATTGAGCAGTTTTCTCGGAGTAAATGAGTAATTAATGCTTGTTTTTCAGGTCACTGCTGCTGAAAAAGGTGAAACTTTGCCTTCCTCTAAAGACTTATTTTTGTTAACGATTACTGCCACATTTGCTATGCTTATGCTCCTAACTTTTTTGATTATCGCTGTTATACATAGATTTATTGATCGCAGGATAAGAATAGAAGAAGAGGAATTAATACTGAGAGTATTTGAACCTGACCTAAGCGTCTGTAACTGATTGTATACTGTTGAAAATGCAATTTTCGGCTGCTGTTGTTTTTTCTTTACGAAAACTCAATAAATAATTATTCAATCAAAAGGTTTTGATTTCAAATTACTGATAAGTTCAATGTAATCAAAGTGAGATATGGATAATTTTCTAGTAATAGCTCTAAAATACGCCTTTCATTGCGATAAAAAATATGAAAAAGTTCTGTTTTTATTAAGTAAAATCAGTGAATAGTTATGACTTATTGCTATGTTTGATATTTTGAATTTTTAACATATTCTTAATTAATTTACGAAATTTTTAGTCATTTATTTTTTTGAAATAATTTGTATAATTTTTAGCAGACGAATAATTAATTTGATAAAATTAACCGAAGAATCAACTTTATACAATATAGAAGTGTAGATATAATTTGTGGAGTAATGTCTTATATTTTCGACGTAATATGTATATTAATCTTCAAGTTGATATTTCTTTAATAATATCTATTGTATTTTCTAATTTCTTTCTCTACCATTTGAAATTGTAATTTTTTTCACTTCATAGCTTGGTTGTTTTCTTTGAAATTGTAATTTTTTCATTTAATTGTTTGGATGTTTTTTTTTCTACACATTATGTTATATACTTGTGCTAATTTACGTGCAATTATAAATATTGTTTATGATAATATTTTGAGTGAATAACATTTTTATTTAATACGTCAACTTATTAATAAATACAAGTATTTCCATTTTGAATTTGTATGCAAATCAACTTCTTTTATTACAACAATACGTTATGATCATCCGATATTAATTAATGTAAAGATCAATTTTCATAATTTTTAATCTTACATTTGCAAAAATTTTTTACAATCAAACTAGAAATTTCGAAGGAAAAAATCGCAATAATAAAGTACATGCAATTCGTCAAATTTACCTGCAAGAATGCACCCAATAATATAGTTTCTATCTACAAGTCATTAACAATTTGTTATTAAGGAATATTTTATGCAGAAATTACGCTGCGAAGTCAATTTATGAATTCACGTTTGTTTAAAATTGAATATCGAAAAATTTGGTAAATTTTACAGTTAAGTTAGATGAACTGTACAAGAGAAAGAAAGTACTGGCGTAATTTAAGTACGCAAAAATTTTCCTTAATAAGAATAGTAAGCTGAAGACAAGACTGAGTCAAGAACAGGAAATTATCGTTGACTGATTGCTTTTGATGGCAAAAAAGCAAAAAATTTAATGAATTTTGGTTCTTAAGTGTTTGGCAAAAGGAATTTCAACAGTATTTCAACGAACAATTAAGCTCTTTTACTTTAAATTGTCTAAAAATGAATTTAATTATTGCTAATTTCCGAGAAAAATGACAAAAGTATTTATTATTTATTCAAAAATTATTGTTAACTTAGTTATATTTGTGCATTTTCCATCTGAATGAATATGCAAATGTAATTACTGTATTTGAGATTAATTCACAAATTTCATCAAATTTTTTCAAAGTATTCATTTACATGGCAAAAAATAACCAAAATGATCAAAATTTTAATCTGTTTGTAACAAAATATTAATGATAAAAATAACATTAAATTCTGTAATGAATTTTGTCTATGCATGAGTAATTACTTTTCAATATTTATTAGAAATTTGAGGAATTACTTTTTGGATGATTGTCTTTTGAATGGTGTAATTAGTATGAATCATTTCAGTAACTTTAGGTTCAATGAAGTTCAGCGGTTATTCGAGAATTACTGTACCATTGCTATTTCTGTATGTTTTATAGATTTGCAAATTTTTGTTTGAGCAAAACTATTAAGATATTGTTTGTATTACTTTTACTTTTTACTTTTAAAATAAAAAAATCAATTCTTAGATGCGACTAAAGTATTTTTGCGTTTGAAATGCAATCAGTGCTTGTCATGAAAATTATTAGTTTTAATTGGTTTGAGTAAATAGTTCTGAAATTATCATGTATTTTTATATGACATAAATTGACTGGTCAAAGAGGTCAGTGATATAATTAACAATTATTAGCCTCAGAAATTCTGAAGTGATATCCGATTCTATTCGAAATCAATCACTTGTAATAAAATTACTTATTTTAACAGCTTGTTGCTATTTGCAACAAATGTTATTCATGCGCTCAATTCCTTCAACAGAAATATCATCGTCAGCAAGAATCCAGCGGTAATTACTTGTGAACTTCGAAATTCAAAGATCTAAAATGACATTTTATATATTTTCAGTGTGATCTAAAATTGAAGCGAGAAAAAAATCATTGCTGTGATGTAATTTTAACTGTCTTAAGTAAATATTTGACTAAAATGTTTGATTAGTGCTTTGACTCAAATTTCGCCTTCAGATCAATTTGTCATCAAAATCATTCAAGCAAGAAAGAAAGCTTGAAGCTCCAAGATGATTATCTGAATAATTCTGTACCTATTTCAAATGTTAATTAATACGTTTGAATGCAGTTTATAAATTATTATTGTATAATTGATGAAGGATGCACTATCTCTCAATTGTTTTTAGTATTAATTCATAAACCAAATTCAAATCTGAGCCTTAAGATCGTCATAATTGCTTGACATTTACTTATGCATATTTTTGACCTACTTTTTCATGTTTTTGCCAGTTCTCTGCGTTGTCGCTAACTGGAAATGCAAATGGCGTGATGGATCCTACCGATGGCTGGGACAACATAATCATCGTCAATGGCATTCCTTTTCTGATTTTGCGCATCTGATAATGATAATAACAGTTATTCATAGTTTTGAATGCAGTAATTTGATCTTATAAGCTATCCTTTTCAATTAATGCGTTCTTTCCTATTTGATGCATAGCATTATGACTGTTCACAGTAATAATTCGTAGTATCAGTTAATTTAATCTCTGCTCAAATGTTACAGTAAAGAGTGTTAAATAAATTAAAATAATATTGTCTGTTGAGTTAAATCAGAAAGCACAGAAAACATCAAATATTTTTTCATTTTTTGTATTTACTTGTGAGTACGTATGGAAATAGCTGTATGCATATTGCTAGCTATACAACAATTACTGTTATATTTTGAAATTAAAGTAAATAAACATGTATTTTAACATTGGGCGTTTTTTAGATTTAAAAACTGGTATTTATGTGCTATTTACTGAATATTTATTCAATAAATTCTAACTTTTAATAACACTTCACGTTTCATCAACTTGAAAGTGTGTTACGTGTTGAATTTATTTCAATTTGTTTATTTCAAATTGAAATTTGTGGAAAAGATATGATTTGATAATAAATAAATAACTGTAAAAAATTTAATTTAGCTTATAAAATTATGAATGTGACAAAAAAATGACAGATTAGTCTATTTTTTATAAAATAAAAATTATTTGACGATGGATAAATAGTTGATTGTTTGCTTTAAAAATAAATGTTTGAGATTAATAACTTGTCAGATGTCGAAAAATTAGTTGCTGTTCTTTTGTCTGTTGACGATATTATGCAAAACTCAATTTAATATAAAAACATAAAATTTAGAAACAGATTTCTTGCTTAGAAACAAATCCACTGATTATGACTGCAAAAGCTATAATACGAATTGCTGCTTGAGTGTCAGAATGAAGCAATCTTGACGTGCACTACGTAAATGGAAGAAAGAAAGCTTGTCAAAAGTTGAAATTTTGTCTATCACAAAAAAATCAAAATTTGGCTTCGACAATATTAGTAATGAATTTGATTGATAACCTTTTTTTGGAATGAAAAATACAAGCTACAATGTGGCAGAATCTAATTTTTACGAGTTATTAGCATGAAAACTTTTACTGTATGCATTTTAGATGTATGCAAGCATTACTGTTCACTAAAAAAATTTGAAAGTGAAATTGAGACCTAATCAAATTTCTAAACTGTACTTTGACCTCAAATAAAGAATTATAATGACCTACTATTCACTAAAAGAATTTAAAAGTGAAATTGAGACCTAATCAAATTCCTAAACTGTACTTTGACTTATTCAGGTTAAAGGTTTGAATAACCTAAACTGTACTTTGACCTATTCAGGTTAAAGGTTTGAATAATTGAGTGTGATCAAAATTTAGCAGTTGAAAGGATCAAAAATTGATTGATGCATGAGAATTGATAAACATGTTTGCGCTGCATTTTATGGTCTGAAATGATGCATTCTGAAGAATGATTGCAAATTTTTTGCTTCAATTTGCACTAAAATTATTATTTTCATTTCATCCAAGCAGATTAGTTTCAATTTTGAATTAAATGCATAAATTTTTAAATAATTCCTGCTAAAAATGAATGATTTATTCATGATTTACGAAGAAAAAGAAGTGAAATAGACATTATTTTAGTAAATACTTCTTAACTTGTTTTTTTTCAGTTCACAATGCTTCGTATAATTTTCTTAATATTTGCTTATTTCACGAAAATCGCACTTGCAGCGAATATTTTAGTTGTTGGAATGCCAAATGGCAAAAGTCACATCAGCTCGATGCTTCCACTTTTGCGTGAATTAGTTCGAGAAGGTTCAAAAATTATTTAAATTTCTTGACAAAATAATTCAAGGCATACGAATGATACGAATGCTGCGGAATACTATAATATTTAATTATTTGTTATTTAACTGTAATTTGTTTTTCAAATACAATAATTACATTTAGGTCATAACGTTACAGTTTATATAGAAAACTATGGAAAAGAAATGATCGATTTCGGTTCTGACTTGAAAAAATGGTACATTCGTATTACTGGTAAAAGTTATTTTATCAGCCAAATTATCACCTCTTTTTTAACAAATGACCTTGTTGTGACCAATTTTTAGCAGATGATAACTTGATGATTAGGTCAAGCAATGATATCTTTATTTTAAGAGATATTTTTGAGACAACAATTCCTAGCAACAAAAACTATGCAAATTATTTACTCTTAAAACTGTTTGTGCCTAAACTGTTTTCGAGGAATCTTGATATTTGTTCATTAAAGAAGGCTTAGACATATCAAGTCATATCAGACAGTAATTTCAGATCATCCATTTCCTCTAATCAATAATTCATCTAGAATATGGTATAAAGATTTTACTAATTTTCTGTTGGTAAGTCTGATTACAAAGATTTTTAAAGCATACCAAGCAAACGCGGGATTGAAGATTAGTATATGAAGGACTGTTTCACACAATTGCAATAAAGAAATTGATATAATGTGCAGAAAAATAAAAATTTTTGTAAGGAAAGTATTATTTGTAGTTTGAATGAATTTTTCAAAATAAAAGAATTACAGTACTGATAAATGTCTGATGCATTCAGGCACAAATTTTTCGCGATGCATCTAAGAGCTGCGATTATGTTATTCGAGAACATGCTGATGAATATCAGAGGATTGCTTCTTATCCGTGGGATTTAATTTTAACCGATTCATTGTTTGCAGTATGTGGATATGGATTAGCCTCATTATCGAAAGCTCATCATGTTATTATGCATACTTCAAGTATGGAAGGATTTTATGCTCTTGCCAAGGCTTTAGGCAGGTAAGTTTATTTAATTTTGAATATAATTTAATTTTAATGCAATTTAATACAAATATTACTGTTACTTGTAATTCTTATCTGCTTGCATTTTTTTACACATATCATTTAATCAAAAAACATTAGTCTTTTTCAGCAAGATTTTTCAAAAATAACTAATAAACAAGGAACTGTTATTATTTTCAAAATTTGTTGGATAATTATATCATTTTATGATTTCTGTTTAACTGCTCAAAGAATAAATTTCACTTCATACTTTAGTTTTTAATTTGAAAAATTAGCACTAATTCTTTGCAATTTCTAGGCAACACGCAGCTGCTCCTCCGTTTTTCATGGATTCTTGGCACTCAGAGTTTCACGTAGATCATTTTTTTGATCGCTTAAACGCAATCAAAGAAATAATAACGTCGTGGTTGATGTGGAACACGTTTATTAATTACTATACAAAGCGATCTTTAGCATCGATTGCACCAAATTTTGATTTTTCAGTATATTCGAGAACTAACTCAATGAGTTTTACCGATATGCCACTGAAGTTTTACGTATCCGAACCGATAAGTAATGAAGTAAGTTTTTTCTTCTTACTTCTTATGCATAAAATTTTCACAAAAATATATTGTTCTTTCTTAAATATTTTGTGATATGGAGTGTTTTATTAGTGGAAGTTGTTTGAGCGGAAAGAATATCAAAAAATATTTCCGCTTATTCCATTGAGCCATTTCAAGCATTTAATATTAACGTTCACTACACTTAACTGTTATTTTTGCCACTTAATTTAAGCTATTTCATGGAATAAGATCGTTCTAAAACAATAATATCTATTTATGTTTGATAATACAGTTAATTAATTTACATTTTGAAAATTGAACTATTTCAGTTTTTGAGCATTTTACAGATGAATTCTGTAATTAAACTGTAAATTGGATGAATTAAACTGTAAATTGGATGAGTTTAGAAAATTAGAATTTTTAAGATTTCTTTGCTAAGAAAATTGTAGCGCATCAACTTTTCATCTCATTTTAGCTTATGAAGGAAATTAATATTATTTAAGCTGTTCAGTTATGGGTGCTATTGTAATTCATTCAATGAACTACAAGGAGAATTGGTTGACTTTGTAAACGATCCAAAGTCGAAGGGTACAATTTTAATGGCTTTTGGAACTATTTTGCGTCTTGGTAATGCTCCAGTTAATAAGTTAGAAGCTTACGTGAAAGCTCTCAACAATCTAACGAATTATAATATAATTTGGGGTTGTACCGATTGCCCACCGATGAAATTGGAAAAACACGTGCGTGTGATGCCATGGGTACCTCAAATAGATATTTTACATCATCCCAAGACAAAACTGTTCATCACTCATGGTGGTTTGAAAAGGTCAAATTATTTCACGTTTAAGATTAATACATATATGAAAATAATACTTTAATAATTTTGTATACAGTAACTCATTTATTTATTCATTCATTTCTCTTACTTCGAAAAATTTATCATGAAGAACTCATTTTCAAACAAAATCAACAAAAATTTAATTTAAGCATTTTCAAAATTTTTCTTCCAGCGTGAAAGAAGCAATATGCGCAGCGATGCCTACACTTTTTATGCCAGTATTCGCAGAACAAGTTCGAAATGCTTGGCTAGCTAAGCAACATGGATTTGGTCAAATAATTAATCGTTTTAATCTTACTGATAATTACTTGCTAGAATTGATCACTGAAATGCTTAATAATAGTCCATCATACGTGAAGCAAGCACGGGAACTGCAAACGTATGTCACATTTGAACTGATAAAGCTTATTTAAATTTCGATACTTTTCAATCTTTTTTTTGCTAATTTCGAATCATGACTTACGTTATCAAAAACTTATATAAGCTTAAAATATATGATTAACAGAAATTAAGTTTGAAAAATTCTGAAAAATTGAGGTCTTTAGCTTACGACCTTTAGAGCAATAATAAATGCTTTCAAAAAATTTATAAGAAAAAATATTCTTCAATTCTCACCAACATTTCAGTCAACATACAATTCGATCGGTAATCTAAGAATGGCAGTGAGAAAGTCGTAAAATAAACATAAAAAATCCATATTTGCTTTGTTTTTTTATTTAAAGCCAAAAAATTAAACTTGAAATAGAATAGAATGTTTTCAAAGTAAAAAGTAAAGCAAATAAATATTAATTTTTAATTTAAGCTTAAATTTGTGATAAAGTAAATTTAACGTTTACAGTTCGTTCACTGACATGCCAATATCACCTCTCAAGGAGGCCTCTTTCCGGATTTCTCACTTGATCAAATACGGCGGTCGCTTTCCTGAATACTTTTATATACGAGCAGCCAATTTCGGCTATATTAAATATTTGAATTTAGATTTTATATTAATAATTCCAGCTGTAATTCTTTTCGTACTTACATGTAAGTAATATGAATATCTTTGTTAAAATTATCATAATTAAAGTTATCCGTATTTCATTCTTAATATATATACAATGTAGATGACAAATTTGTGTCTATAAGTAATTAAAATAAAAAAACTTATAGAAAAATCGTGCATTCCAATTTATAGTACAACAAATTTAAAGAAATGATTTAAGAATTAAGAAAAAAGTAGAAAATGAGAAGATGAATAGAAATTGATGGTTTCAGACGCAGCAATTCACGTTAAGTATTCAATTATACGTCGGGATACTGTAAAATTATAGCTCATATTAATACATTTAAAGTTATATTTTATACAAAGTCTAGCTGCTTACGTAAAACGATATGTACTGGAAATATTTTGGGGAAAAATTCAATATTTAACGATGAGCTCATTTTTTATGCATGAAATAACAAATAACAGCATAAAGTATAGAACAACTTTTTAAAAGTTTATCAAGAAGCCATACAATATTATGCTGTATAAAATTTATATTCGTTGCAAAAAAGTACGTAAAATCGAGTATTAAAGCTAGAATCTCTTACCCTTAATCTGGATTTAAACGTGGTCAACTTTGAAAGACTTATAAGTTGAAGCTGAAAAAATAATAATGAAAAAGACACACATTATTATTTATTATTTGTTAAATTATTGAAATACAATGAGGGAGCGAATATTTGTTTGATCGAACAATTATTATTTATTCTAAAAAATTTATTCTTCTAAAATCAGATTGAAAATGACGTTTTAATATTATATTGAATATTTGCTTAGCTTAACTTAGCATTACAATATTTTTTGAAACAACAATAGAGCAGTTATCATTTTATTAAGTAATTATTAGCTATTATTTTAGGCTTCTGAACAAATTCAAACTGTATGTCTATTGTATATCCACTCAAAAAGCAAGATTTTGTATCTCAGTGACGTCATACTAATTATTAAAACTGAATGCTCGAAATAATTTCCATAAATTATCATGTTTGAAAATGAATAAAAAGCAATATAAGCTGAATTCCATCCCATTCTTACACTTTGTTGTCAAGCTGGATGGTCAATCCAACTGCGCCCTTATTGCTGGCTGCCTACTTTATTATGTTATATTTATATGAATAAATTAAAATTTCACGTACTTTTCAGCGTTTTATTTAAGTGATAGCGTAATTAGCGTAGTAGTTTTTAATTAATTTTCTACTTTCAAGGTTTATGTAGCAAACAAGACAGAACAGAATACTTGAAATTCGTAAACTTTGCTAAGCACTTTTTCAGTATTACAGCAATAAAACTCAAAATTGAAAAAAAAATTTTAGTACAAACTTATTGCCAATCGAATTTGAAGTATTTAAATTAAAGTCTACTAAAATTGAGCCCAAAAAAGTTTGCTTTACTCAAAAACTTGCCTAAATGAAATGACAAAAGTTGAAACTGAGCATTGCAGTTGCAAAATATGCATATTTTTTATACATTTATTTGCAATTAAAATTCAAATTAATTCAGTAAAGTTGAATCATATAAATTTAAGTTATTGCAGAAACAGTATAATTGGATGGAATGAATAAAAATGTCGTTGCCATCAAGTTCATATCAACTTAATTCTAATTACGTCAAAGTAAAACGCCTGAATTTACCTCGTTGTCCATCACATCCATGTTCGCAACAAAAAGTGGAAAATTACATGAAACGAATAATGCAAACAATTAGTGGCAAAAGTCCAAAACGGATCCACTCATATTTTGAACACGATGAAGTTTTGGAGGTCACTTTTATTTTTAATTAAGTTTACTTTTATATAAAAAGTAATATCATTGCGATGGTAATATTATTTATGCAATGAAATTAGTCGTATTTTTTACCTGTCAATATCAATTTGGATTTTGGGATTAATATATCTGATTGATATTCTCAGCTATCATTCTATTGTATTTATGCACATTACGATTTCCTCTTATTTTTTAAAATGTGAAAATTGTATTTTTCAGCTAAAACGGTACTAAATTCGATAAGATCAGCTTCTAATTACAAATATATAAAGTGTTGAGAAAAGGTCAAAATTCGAATATGTCATGCGACTGCAATGATTTTCGATAAATAAAATACTATAAAAAGAAAAAGACAAAAACTTATAACAAGACCGGTTTAGAAATAAACTTGGATTAAGGGGTCAAATTGAAAAGCCAGAAAATTTGCATACTTTATGCAACAGACTGCTGTTGAAATTGAAATTTGCATGACTTGCAAAGCGAAAATATTTCATTGAATACAGATGTAAGATGTATTGAAAAAATTGTTAGTCTTAACGTAAGGATGGAAAATATTAAAATTCATTGTAGTTGTTTGCTTTCAGCAAAATTCAATGAATATTTATCCTTCAGAACTTTTGCAAGCTGAAAACGAAATTCGCACTTAGTTAATAGTACACTGACTCAACTGCATTTAATTCTAAGCAAAGTTGTACCTGCAACAAGTGTATAAATTTTTATAAATTCACACACACAGACACACACACACGCACACTTTTAGTCACATTATTTGAGTGTATACATCCTTCACTTAGAAAGGTCACTGCAAAGAGGTCAGAGTTCAGTACTGATTTAATTTATCGGATGTTCAAGATCATCCATGGATGCTTAACCATTCTTGCTGATGAGCCAACATTATTACAATTTCCCCTGCCTGAAAACGGATTAGTTATCATTGGTGATCTGCATGGTGATGCGTTTTGCTTAATGAAAGCATTCGAGTTTTATGGATTTCCACCTAATATAACTTATTTATTTTTAGGTATATTTTGCCATCATTTTTATTTTTACACAATTAATTCATTTTCATGTCATGTTAATATAATTATGCAACTAAGAATACCAACAACAATCAGTTTTATACGTTTAAACTAGTGACTGTATGTAAACAAGCAAACTACTTATCATCACTTTGTTATGAATAAAAAGTGATTAATCAAGAACTGATTTCTATCTACCGGTACCAAACTAATATCGACAACAACTGTTAAAGGGGATTTCATTGATCGCGGACCTAAGCAAAATGAAATATTGTTGTTGCTATTTCTGATGAAAATACGCTGGCCAGAATATATTTATTTACTGCGTGGAAATCACGAATTATACGATCTCACCGAATGTAATTTTAAGAAAAAAGTTAGTCATTTATAAAGTTGTTTAGGTGATGAATTGCTTTTTATTGCCTTATTAATGCAAAATTTGTAATATATATTTAAATTCTAAAAATGTGAGAAAAGGATAAAAAAGTTTGTATTTTAGTGCTCACAGGATTATAACAATTGCTCAGTGTTTATCTACCTTAATCAGTTATTCGATTATTTACCATTAGCTGCTATCATTTCAGGTTATTTTTATTTTGATAAAAAGTTTGTAGTACTCTGCTTTCCCAAAGCAGTAATTATATTAAAAGAATGAATTACTCAAAATTTTGAATACACTGCAGTTAAAAATTAAAAAATTATACAGGTAGGCTGATACCGTAATTACAATAGTATCAAATTTGGTAACTAAACCAGATAACTTTACTATATCTAATAATAAATTTAATAATGTTAAAGGTCATTTTAGACCACTTTTTTACTTGTCACGCGGGTGTATCGCAATGGATGACTTGTCGTGCAAACATTGCGAACATTTCAAGGCCTACTGATTTGAACAATATGAAAATTCTAGAAGGTTGTATTGTAACTGATATCCTTTGGGCAGATCCCAAAGCTGATCAAGAACTGTTAGTCTTTTTCAATCTAACAAACCAAAATATACAAAACTATCCATCAATGGTTTGCAGTAACAATTTTTTTTACAGTTCCATAACAAAGCATTCAAAATTGAAGTAATCTTCAATTTTTACTTGAATGCTTTTAAAGAAATTTCAATTGATACGATTTATTCAAAAACTTTTTATTCACAAAATGTTTATTCTGCAACTATGCTCTTATATAGTTCATCATTTTGCAGAAATAACTTAATCAAAAATTAGCACTTCAGACCGTTTGATCTGAGTGCTCGTGGCTGTTGTTATTCGTTTAATCAGGAAGCACTGCATTCCGTACTGCGAGCATTGAACGTACACACGTTGATCCGTGGCCATCAGATTGTTCCGGAAGGTATTTTGGACAATTTCGGAGATGGATCTTGTCTAACCGTCCATACAGCCACGCGTGAAAGTGATGGCTATGTTTCTTGTTAGCCTTTTGCTAATTTTTTAATTAATTTTTTGTCGTATACATTTTCAAATAAATTGTGTGTCGCCGTTTTTTATAATAATTTTAAAATTCAAATATTACTCAACTAACACTAACAAAGAAAGCATTCTGTAACATAGATTATTATTTTTAAATTGAGTCAGTTATAAAACATTATACTATATTTTATATTTTTTAGCAATGAAACATACTTGTTTTCACTAAACTAACAAAATTCATTTAATTGCTGATCCTTTTGGAAAAGCAATAAGTACCGTTCATATTGTTAGCTCAATTCGTGTTTTGAAACTTTAAATTTCTAAAAAGTGATCAAATCCATGCCGAAAAATAATAATTAAAAGTAACTTGTACAAAAATTTATTGCTTAATATTAGTTTGAATAATCACTAATTCATTATTCAAGAAAAGTTAAGTTTCTTATCACTTTCTTGCTCAAAATTGATCAGCTTGGCATATATGTTTACATTTTAGCGGGGACTCTCAAAATAATACGTGATGATAATGGCGATTTTGTCATTTGCAAACGTATGATTGAGGTGTGACCTTAATGTTAATTATGTTATTAGTCTGCGTGAAATATTACTGTAAAAGCATATTGGACAACACTCACGTTTACACAACTATAAAACTAATAATGATAATAATAACTGTCTTTATCACTTCGTGATTTGCAGTTTGTGCTTAACGCTTTAATTATCAATTAGTAATGACGGTTTGTTCAATGAATTATCAGTAATATATTTACTTTAATGATTTTTTAACCTTAAACTGATATAATGATAGCGCATCTAAATAAATAAACTACGTAAATGATAAAATATGCACAGTAAATATTATAGATAACTACCAAAGCAGACATGGAAGATCTATGTAATATAGTGTATGTAATTCTCTGCAAAAGTTTGCAACATAATACGTTAAAACGTGTTTACCGTAAATGTCAGTGGTGCAGGAAAGCATATCCAATCAATATAATAAATCGAGTTAGAAATGCCTGCATGACGGAAGTGCTCTTATGGATTTCTCGATATGCATTCCGCTACGTTCAGCAGGACGACTTGTTTCATGTTTGTTTTTATAAGTAAATTAATAAAGTTTTGCTCAGTTAAAAATTTTTTACTTCTTAAGATAGAATTCTATTTTATCAGTTCAATCAGTCATAATAATCAGCATCATTTATTAATACTCATATTAATACTCATATTAATACTCAACATTTATAAATTACAATAGTAACAATAATAACTTCAACAGATAGAAAGTTTCCTTGCATTTAGTTTTCCACTACCTGCATTCAGACAAAATAATAGTAATAACAATAATAGCGATAATAATAATAATAATAATAATTAATAATAATAATGATAAACTTGATTCATTTGCCTACAAATTATGACAAAAAATGTCAACAAAAAATTGGTACTTGCACACTGTATTTAAGAATGCGTGGGAAAATGATGATGACGAAGGAATGAATGTCAGAGGTTACAAGTTATTTCCTATACTTTACGACGCAGTTTCATTCGAGGGTGGAACAATGAACACACCGTGCACATATCGAGTCTTGGTGGCTGAATGGGAAAAAGCATTCTTATTTAAGGTTTTTAATCTTATTAACTTTGATTATTGTAATCAATAATATCAATTCTTGAAATTTCTAATAAGTTTCAAACAAAACCTTAAAATAATTTCAAGTTTTATGAACAAATTAATTGATTATTACTACTATCAATATGACTGTATTGTAACACGGAATTGAACAATTGTAGTGCAGAGATCTCAATCAGTACTTCTTAAAGATAACTTTTGTTAGTTCTGATAAAACTTTTATCGTCAAGACTAATTGCTTATTAATTTCTTATTGCAATCATGCATGAGTCTTTTTATATGATGCAGCCACATTGTCTCTTCAGTTATTTGGAGTTGTTTCAAATTTTGATCTTGCTGAACCACTAACAAGCGATGTGGATCCCGGACTGCTGGCAATACAAAACAATAAACAGAAACCTGGATTGCTTGCACGTACATCACGCGGATTTAGAAACATATTTAGACATGCTATGGTATGTATGATATATAGAAAATGATTGATACAAAATTTTGAAATTTAAAACTTTGAACTATAAGATTTGCTCACTAAAATTGATAACCATCAAGTATTTGCTGTAGTAAAGCAGTTTGCTGTAGGGCCTTCGAGACTTTGCGACATGTGAAGAAGAAAATGTACCCACGTCAACATCAAGAAGATCCTGATCTTAGCAAGCATTTAGTAAAGATGTCTTGAAAGTTTTCAAGAACTAATCTATAGTTTGTAATAATAACTTCAATGTCAGCCCTGTTTCGTTATAATCAGAATTACTAGTGATTACTTTATGATTCTACTGTTATCAAAAAACATTTAATATTATTGTTGTTCAATTACACCAATTGGCTGCAAATTCCTTAATTGCTCAATAAATAAAACTTTCTTAATCAGAATTGCGGAGTTTTACCAAAATCAGTGAATGAAAAGTAATCTACCTTCTCATTCCACTTTCAGTTCAGTTATTTACTCACAACTTTCAACTATCAAAAAGTTCGTTCTTACAAGTCTTACTCTCTCACGTCTCATACGTAATGCAATTAGAGTCTTGTAGCTCAGTAGCGACTGCTTAAAGTATGGTAATCTGTTAATATTAGAATACTGTGAGGATGTATATTGCATATTACAAGTACTGCCCAGAACGACACTGACTGAGATTAGTATTTTGAACTTTTCAAAATTTTAAATTAGTTTTTGTTATAGATTTTTTGCTATTTTTGTATTAATTAAAAATACCTTTTTAATCGCACAGTAAGAAAACGGTTTGCGTCTTAGAAGAAAAGATTTGAGTACAAAGTAAGACTAAACTGAGTAATTAATTTTTATTAATATAATAAGTCAGAATTTCAATTTTCATTCAGTTTTTTTATTGCAAAGTGCGATATTTTTAAGGTTCTAAAGCAGTTTCATTGGGTTCCACAGTATCAAAAATAAAAAGATCATTTGCATCAGATGTATCTTCTGTTGTGGGAGATGAAAGAAGAAAGGATTCATTGAAACGTCTAATTCTAGGAGTGATTGCCAGTGAAGATGACGGGCCTGCGGTTTGGACTTGATTGGATTCGCTTCCTTCTTCATCCATAACGTTCAGAATCACTCCCATCTTCATATCGTTTCCTTTTTCATAATGATCAGCTTTTCCAGCTGTTTCATCTTCAGAAGGTAACGAAGCTACTGCATGTGGTATAGTTTCCGAAGAACTTTTAGTGTTTACTCGTTTCAATTCTAATCCCTAAAATCATTTTACTATTAAATTAGGCTTTAGGTAAATAAAATTAATCTGATTAATTTCAATGGATTCAGAAATTACATTCAGTGTTTATTAATTCAATAATACATCACAGTTTTTGAAAAAATTTATCATTTTTATGTCCAGAACAGTTTGTTGCAATACAAAAGTATACCATGGCTTGACAGATACATTTTTTAATCTTGCTGAATCGTCCTTTAGATTTTCTCTTCTCTAAATATATGTTTACAGCATCTTCGAATTTACGCAAAGCGAAAGAAGGCAGTTGACGTGGATTTCCTCCAAGCGTTTTATAAATCTTAAAATGATTAATTTATCAACTTTTTAAATGACGTTTCTAAGCACAATTTTGGTTTCTGAGAATAATATGCATTTCAAACTTTTTTGCACAAATTGCTCATGCTAATCGTTTAAAATCACGCGCAAATTTTATAGCTGAGCCATAAACATTTTAACATTCTGTTGTAATTTTGAAAATAGAACAGAATATACATGTATAATAATTCATAAAACAAGCGCTTTTTTGCAAAAAAATTCTTTAGACATTTCTAAGATTTTTGTAGGATTAGAGTGAGATTTGATTGCTATAAGTTCAAATTGGAAATTAATGAATTAATGCAAAAAGTAATACAAAAATCATTTGCTTTTGCTTGTTGCGCAGAATAACTTACATCTTTTATCAAGTCTAGCTCGTCTTCTGTCATGCAAATTCGGAAAGAACGTGGACAAATGATTGAGGCATGATTGAAACAACCACTATTTATGTCATACGCCATTGGGAACAAATATGCTGCTCGTTCTAGCAGATCAGTTTCTGTGCAAATTTAAATTTTGTACAACTTCACACTTATTCATAATCTTATTAATGCGGTAGTGATCTTTTTTTCGCAATTAAATTATTATTTACTTGTCATTTGGACAATTTTTAGGAATTTTTTTCTCGTAAATCTTATAATTCCTTAAATTTTATGATATTTATTGTTTTAAAATAGTAGCATTTACACATTTAGGAAGTAAAAAATTAATCAAAAAATTACTGCGTCTATCTGTAAATCTGCTGAAATAATATTTAAATACATCATCGTGTTCCAGCACAATTCTTCCTTTATACCACATATACTGCCATATGTCAAGGTAAGTGAAATAACGTTTACGTCGAGTTACAAATAATGGATATGGTTGTTGACACCAATAACACTGATTAACGTTATATGAAATTATCGTATCGAGAAAAGCATTCTCTAAAGCTTCGTGAACTTTGGGGATTAAGTCACTGACTTGCTCATCTCGTTTCACTAAACGACATCGTTCTTCTTCTTTAAATTTATTCCCTTGTCGTGTCAGCTTCAATGCTCCACCTTCGAATATTGTAAAATTTGTTTTAGAATATATAAAAAATGATGTAATTTGTCAAATAAAGCAATAATTTGTTGAATGTGAAAGGAAAAATTTGATAGATTATAAATTATAGTATGTATTGTCACTTGAGTTCTGCTATTTCTGAAATTATAATTAGTAATAATTGTTGATTTATGTATAAAAAATTTAGCCTTTTCATTATGATAGAATTTGCATATGCATACTCATTGCTTCTTCTTCATTATCAAAATCAGGAGCACTGTGTACTGTATAGCACATTCTATCGTTAAAATTTCTCATCACACCATTAGGATAATATTCATGACCTCGGATTAAGACTTTGGCTTTTAATGCAAGAAGAACAGCTCTAGTAGCAACTTGATTAAATGAATAACCACATTCTCGAGGGCTAGCAGAAAATGGTCTAAAAATTCATAAATATAATTTGTGTCTATGATTTTTTGATTCTTGAAGTATTAAAAAAAACTGAGAATAACTGAGAAATAGAATTAACTTAACATACTCTTCATTACCGGAGATCGGATCAGCCCACAACAGATCAGTAAGCATTACGCCTTCGACAAAAGATAGATCACAAGTATATGCTGGTTTTCTGATATTCTTTACATTACTGCGACAAGTCAACCATTGAGAGATTCCACCATGGCAAACAAAATAGTAATCTTTAAATTCAGATATCATGCAGTTCATGATAACATAAAATCTATTGCAACACAAAAATTATATCCTTCCGTGATTATTTGCATATCGATCTATTCTATTACTGACCAAAAGTAGTTTAACATAGTTCAACTATGTTACTTTAAATTTTTTTGGTATTTTATTAGAAAAAATATTGCAATTTTTGTTATTTTATTTGATAATTTTGATTTTTTTCTCAGTTCTTTCCTCATCAATTATTATGCTGTTTTAAAATTTTTATTTCTAGCTTCGAATCTTTCAGTTCTGATTCTTTTAGGAATAGTTGAACTGATCCAAACTCGTAATATAAATTTTGATAAAAACTATTTTATCTTGTGATAATATTGACTTGGGGCACTTACTAGAGATAATTGCGCAAATAGGCATATGATCGAAGACAAAATTTATGAGTGTAAACCAGCGGGAATTTCGTTTGAACATTTTTGAGCACTGAAATACAAAACACTTTCAGAGTTTTTGTATGCAATTTAAAAGCAAAATATTACTTGACCATCTTCGGGAATGACCAATCGCATGTTAACATGCAAAAAGTAAATCAGATTGGTAAAAGAGACCAACTTCCTTGAAGAAATCATTTTCTTTACAATATTCATAGTTTTCATGATTGCCTTTCAAAGTTGTCACATAATTTGGCCACCGCAATTTCATCAAAAATATAAAAAATATCAGTTCAACTTGATGTTTCCCGCGATCAATATAATCCCCTAAATTCCATGCAAATATTAATTCTACGTCAACAAAACTAGCACACGTAAAAGCAGTATAGTGTAATTTTCATTCCATACTAAAAATGTGCGTGATAAATATTTATCCTATGGAAAATGACAAAAAATAATAACATATTTAGCTTACTTTTTATAACTTTTTAAAGCAAAATTACCAACAACAAACCTAAAAATAAGTAACTTGAAGCTGGTGGAAAACCATTTTCTAATAATATGCTGAATAAGCAGTTAAGATCACCATGCAAATCCCCAACCACAATCATACCATTTTCTGGTAAATCAAATTCCAGCATAATTGGCTCCTTATTATAAATATACTGCACACCATGCAAAATCTATATTTTTTGAAATTAGCATTTTGAATTTTATTTTACTGTGATTGAAAGCAAAACAAATTGAATCGAAAAAGAGGCAGTAACAGTAGTTAAATCGATATGCAAATTCAGTGCAAGCTGAATTGTTCTCTATCTTTAATTTAATATTAATGCCTTAGAGAATTGTTTTATTCATCCTATATTTCTCTATGTTTTTAACTACTGCTAAAATTATTATTTTCATAAAAAACATTGCAATATAAATGATTAATAAAGTATTGCATCTTTTTAATTGAAAGAATCATTTTGTAAATTTTAATGAACTTAAATTAATCAGAAATTAATATGATATAATGTAAACCAACTTATAAATTTTAGTGAGCAAATAAAACTAAATAAAATGCCTTTTCAATTACAGCTTTTCGAAAAGATTTGCTTACTAAATTAAATATAGAAAATAATTCAGACTGTATTAAATTTGCATATCGATTTGATTACTGTTACTGCATTTTTTTTGTTTCAATTTTTTTTGGGTTTAATCGCAGGAAAATAGAAATTCAATATGCTAATTTTGGTCTCAATCTTTTGTACGACAATTTGCAATTTTGGAAAAATTTGTTATCGTTTTTCAAAATTTTTCAAATCACAGTGAATGAAACTAGTACCAAAAGCAAGTCATCTTCACTGAATACAGAAATCATTTTACATTCATTTGTCACCATTATTAACAAATTCTTCATAAATTCTTCGACTAAATTTTGTGTGAGCTGTTTGTTGCATACCATTTTCTAAGTGATAGTTTAATAGATTGAATTAATAAAAATGCGTGCACAAATAAAAAGATCCTGTCATAGGTCAAGAACTTCACTTTTAGCAAGTAATTAATTGCATTTAAACAGTTAAATCTAGTTTCCACTCAATAAAAAAAATTAAACAATCTCAAATTTTATAATTCAGTGATAAAATTTTTATCAGTGTATTCAATGTCTTAGTCATATTTGGTCTTATGCATTTCTGCAATATGTAATTAGATGTGACCTCAGTTAATTATAAAATATGCAGAGATATTTGAGAAAATTTTAAATAATTAAGCACAGTAAATGAAAGCTTTTCTTAAAATATTTAATTATATTTTGAAAAAACTTAAAAATTTAATTGGATAATTTCAAAATGAAATTTTGTAAGCAAATAAAAAGTTTTAAGAGAATTTAGTCAGTTTCTGAAGAATGACTGCTAGAATTTTTAACTAATTTTTTTCGCTAGAAGTCAAATTTTTGACTTTATAGAAAATAAGATTTTTGATAATTTTGCATAATTAATGAATAAACTTAAGCTGTCATTCATTGAAAAAAAACTTTTTGTGGTGATTGAAAAGTAATAGTAATGCATAATAAAAGTTGAAATAATAATGCATATATAATTTGACACATTTTTACTTAACTTTTCTGTGAAATTTTGAATAAGTAATGAAGAAATGACGCAATAAATCCTTGCTAATAAAAAAGTATTCACACTCCAATGCAGTTAGTTAATAATTTAATATTTAATGCTAATGTCTTGAAAGCTAGTGACATTTGATCATTCACGTTCGTAATAATTGAGAAGTTCCATTACTTTGCGAGGACAAATTTCTTGAATCTTTTTTACTTCGGTGAATAAATTACCAGCAAATTCATGAATCACTACTTGATAAAATTCTGTCTAGTCCTTGGCTTTATTCGGAATATTTACTTGTAAAATGAAAAATATCAAACTTGGAATGAAAAGAGGTTAGAATAAATTCAGTACTGAAGCAGTCAAACCACTCGGAACTGCGCTGAACAGTAGGAATATCGAAAAGACCAACAAAGTAATTTTTATAGCAAAATTTTTGCATTCATAAAATTAGCATATTTTTTTAAAGCCTGATATCATGAAAAGTTATCATATGTATTTTTTATTCGTTGAAGCTGACTTCTTGAACCAAACTGCTCCGCTGTTTAACTAAATAATTACAAGTTTGTTTATTTTTGAATTTAAAACTTTAAAATGGTCATCGAAAATACAATAAACTATGTTTTAATTACTTTAATGATTTGATATTTTTGATTCATTCATATTTTTGCTTAATATAATATTTTGAGATATTCAAAAGAGTTTTAAACAATCAATGACTAATTTTGATTGCATAAATAAAGCTTTGTACTCAATTAATAATTGTAACATTTTTCGTGCAAAAACGACTTAAAACAAATGTAACGCTGAAGAAATTTTCTGTACGCTTTTGCATTCTGTGAATGAAAACATTTTAGAAATATTTATAGCAAAAATTTGTTTTTAATTAATTCATAATAAACTGAAATTACGTGAAAGAAATTTAATTAGCTTTGGATTGAAAATTATTTTTTCATATTTTTTTATCAACCAATTTCTGTTCATGAGGAATCCGAAAATGAAATTTTTTTTTGCAAATTAAGTCAAAAGTGTCGTGCAGATTAATTTTTTGACGTGTGAATAAGTGAACTTTTTGAATTATGTTTGCATGTTCCAATATATTTTAAAATGAGTTAATGTATCTGATTTGAGAAATAATCTTGTAAATTTGTTTCACGAAGTTTAGTGCTCGAGTTTGATGTTACCAATTTTTTAGACTTAATAATGAAATTTGTATGCTTTTTGTCTG